CAAAAAATAAGTAAAGACACTAAAGCTCTAAATAAGGATCTAGAGTGCTTAGGCTTAACAGACATATATAGAACACTAAACCCAAAAAAATCTGAGTATACATTTTTCTCAAGTGCACACGGATCATTCTCTAGGATCGATCATATACTGGGGCACAAGACAAACATCAACAGATACACCAAGATTGAAATCATACCAACCATCTTTTCTGACCATGAAGGCATCAAACTAGAAATAAACCATAAAGAGAAGGCAAGGTATTCTCCTACCTCGTGGAGATTGAAACCCACACTACTGGAAGTCCACTGGACTAACGAGGAGATAAAAGAAGAAATTAAAAAATTCTTTGAATTGAATGACAAGGAGGACACCAATTTCCTAAATGTATGGGATGCAGCAAAAGCAGTAATAAGAGGAAAATATATAGCAATAGATGCTCACATCAAGAAACAAGAAAGAACTCAAAGAAACAACCTAATCTCGAAACTCAAAGATCTAGAAAAAGAACAACAAAAAAGCCCCAAAACCAGTAGAAGAAAAGAAATAATGAAAACCAAAGCAGAAATAAATGAAATCGAAACTAAAAAAACAATCCAAAAGATCAATGAAACCAAGAGCTGGTTCTTCGAAAAAATAAATAAAATAGATAAACCCCTTGCCAGGCTCACAAGGGCAAAAAGGGAGAAAGCACAAATAAATAGGATAATAAATGAAAGAGGAGAAATCACAAAGGACACAGCAGAAATCAAAAGAATTATTAATAACTACTATGAACAGTTATATGGAAACAAGTTTAACAATCTAGAGGAGATGGACAAATTCCTACAACTCTACAATCACCCAAAGCTAGATAAAGAAGAAATAGAACACCTAAACAGACCAATTACAATTAGCGAAATTGAAATGGTAATCAAAAACCTCCCCAAAAACAAAAGCCCAGGACCTGATGGATTTACAAATGAATTCTACCAAACATTCAGAGACGAATTGGTACCTATCCTTCACAAACTCTTCCAAAAAATTGAGAAGGAAGGTATAATACCTAACACGTTCTACGAAGCCAACATTACACTAATACCAAAACCGAACAAGGACAACACAAAAAAAGAAAACTATAGGCCAATCTCCCTAATGAACACTGATGCAAAAATCCTCAATAAAATTTTAGCTATCAGAATCCAACAGTGTATCCATAAGGTAATTCACCACAACCAAGTAGGATTCATTCCAGGGACACAAGGATGGTTTAACATCTGAAAATCAATCAACGTTATCCAACACATCAACAAAAAGAAATATAAAAACCATATGATAATCAATAGATGCTGAGAAAGCTTTCGACAAAGTGCAACACCCATTCATGATAAAAGCCCTTGAAATTCTTGGGATACAAGGAACGTACCTCAACATCATAAAGGCCATATATGACAAGCCAACAGCCAGTATCATTCTCAATGGTGAAAAGCTGAAAGCAATTCCATTAAGATCTGGAACAAGACAAGGATGTCCACTTTCACCACTGCTTTTCAATATAATACTGGAAGTCCTAGCCAGAGCAATAAGATAGGAGAAAGACATCCAAGGAATCCAAATAGGAAAAGAAGAAGTCAAACTATCACTCTTTGCAGATGATATGATAATATACATAGAGAACCCCAAAAACTCCACAGAAAAACTAATTCAACTCATCAATCAGTTCAGTAAAGTGGCAGGATACAAAATCAACACGCAAAAGTCAGTAGCCTTCCTATATACAAACAATAAATCTGAAGAAGAAGAAATCAAAAAAACCAACCCTTTTCTTATTGAAACAAAAAAATCAAATATTTGGGAATAAATCTAACAAAAGAGGTAAAGGACCTATACAAAGAAAACTATAAAACACTGTTAAAAGAAATAGAAGAAGACACAAAGAAATGGAAAGACATCCCCTGCTCATGGATTGGGAGAATAAACATTATTAAAATGGCCATCCTACCAAAAGCAATATACAGATTCAATGCTATTCCAATCAAAATTTCAATGTCATTCTTCAAAGAAATAGAACAATTATTGATGAAATTCATATGGAATCACAAAAAACCCCGAATAGCCAAAGCTCTCCTGAAAAAAAAAGAAGGGAATGGAGGCATCACACTCCCAGACTTCAAACTCTACTACAAAGCCACAATCATCAAAACTGCATGGTATTGGAACAAGAACAGACATACAGACCAATGGAATCGAATAGAAAATCCAGAAATAAACCCACAGATTTATGGTCAACTAATCTTTGACAAAGGAGCAAAGACTATGCATTGGAGCAAAGAAAGTTTGTTCAATAAATGGTGCTGGAAAAACTGGGTCGCTACATGCAAAAGAATGAAGCTTGACCACTACCTCACACCATATACAAAAATCAACTCAAAATGGATTAAAGAACTAGACATAAGACCTGAAACCATAAAATACATAGAAGGAAATATAGGCGAAACACTACGGGATTTGCATATCAAAGACATCTTTACAGACACATCACCCAAAGCAGTGATAGTGAAGGCAAAGATCAACACTGGGACTACATCAAATTAAAGAGCTTCTGCACAGCAAAAGAGACAATAACAAAAACAAAGAGAAACCCCACCAACTGGGAGAAAATTTTTGCACACAACACTAATGATAAAGGACTGATCACAAAAATCTGCAAAGAGCTGATGAGACTCAACAACAACAAAGAAAATAATCCAGTCAAAAAATGGACAGAGGAACTAAAAAGAAACTTCTCTGAAGAGGAAATGCGAATGGCCAACAGGCATATGAAAAAATGTTCAACATCACTTGCAATCAGGGAAATGCAAATCAAAACTACCATGAGATACCATCTTACACCAGTGAGAATGGCACATATTAAAAAAACTAGCAACAACAAATGTTGGCGAGGTTGTGGAGAAAAAGGAACTCTTCTGCACTGTTGGTGGGAGTGCAAACTGGTCCAACCACTATGGAGAGCTGTGTGGAGATTTCTGGACCTACTAAACATAGAGTTTCCACAGGATCCAGCAATTCCACTCCTAGGTATTTACCCAAAGAACACAGAAACATCAATTCCAAAGAACACCTGCACCCCTATGTTTATAGCAGCACTGTTTACAATAGCTAAGCTTTGGAAACAGCCCAAATGCCCAAAAATAGATGACTGGATCAAGAAGATGTGGTACATATATACCATGGAATATTACTCAGCATTCAAAAAAGATAAACACATGCAATTTGCAGCAACATGGATGGCGCTGGAAGGGATCATGCTCAGCGAAATAAGCCAAAAAGAAAAAGAAAAATACCGGATGGTCTCACTCATAGCAGGGATCTAGAAAACTTAAATAAGGGACCAGGAAAATGAATAACTATAAGAAAGTGAAAATCAAAATCAACAAAAACTATGAACCAGAGACACTTTTTGGGGGCGGGGGGCGGGAGGGGAGGGATTGGGGTCAGAATGGGGGGATTGCAATTGTATGGGGAATATAAAAATAAAATTTATTAATTAAAAAAAAAAATAAAGGTAATCAAAAGGCCCAAACTTCCAATTACAAAACAAATTAGTCCTGGGATGTAATGGACAACACGGTAACTATAATTAACAATATTGCATTATATATTTGAAAGTTGCTAATGAACTTTGCGTGTTAGTAAAAAAAAAAAAAAAAATTTGGAAAATGTAAGACAAAATTGCAACAAGATATTTCTTCACACCTATTAGTATGGCTGCTGTTTTAAAAAGAGAAAACAGCAAATATTGGCAAGAATATGAAGAAATCTGTACTTTTGTACACTTTTGGTGGGAATGTAAAATGGCATGGCCACTGTAGCCAGCACTATGACAGTTCCTTTGAAAATGAACAGTAGTATTTACCATGTGACCTAGCAATTCTACTTCTAGATATATACCGAAATTATTAGAGCAAGATCTCAAAGACATATTTGTGTACCCCTGTTCATAACAACATTATTCACAATAGCTGAGGCATGGAAGAGATCATAAGTGTCAACTGGTGGTGAATGGATAAGCAAAATGTGATGTGTATTTATATAAATGGTGTATATATATATATATATATATATATATACACACACATATATGTGTTCAGAAAACATATATGGGTTGTCAGAATATCTTCTAGTGCCATCTGCTGCAAAAATGTGTCATGACTTCTCCAACAACCCAATGTATAAAAAATAGAATATTATTCAGCCTTTAAAAAGGAAGAAAAATCTGATATATGCTTCAACATGGATGAAACTTGAGGACATTATGCTAAGTGATATAAACCAGTCACAAAAAGAAAAATACCATATGATTCCACTTATATGAGATATCTGTAATAGTCAGATTCATAGAAACAAAGTAGAATAGTGATTGCCAGGTTTGGGGAGAGGGAAAATGGAGAGTTATGTTTAATGGTTATAGTGTCATTTTTACAAGATGAAAAAAGTTATACAGTGGATGGTGGTGATGGGGGCACATTAGGAATGTATTTGATACCACTGAGCTGTACATTAAAGTGGATAAGATGGTAAGTTTCATGATATATATGTTTTACCACAACTTTAAAAACTTGGGAAAGAAAACTAGAGGAGGGAAGGTATGGGATTAGAAGTAATGTGTATAAAGTATGATGACTAAAATTATGTCTTGAAAGATCTGAGTATGAATAGAAGGTAGTTCATTTAGCTTTTTACCTTTAAAACATTTGTTTTAAGCCTGTTGCTTGGTGTGATATCAAGCAATGTAAATAAACCAATTTTCATCAATCTCGGTGGTTTTGCCTGTCCTGTTCCATTGTTATATGGCAGAAACCTGTTTTTGTAACATTGACAGGCTGCTGCCTCAGTTGTGTGACTTACCTCTTATTGTTACTTTTATAAAAAGCCAGACCTGTTCTGTATGAAAAGGATGGCGTAGGGAAGGTGCCAGTAAATGATTTCTGTTATCCAGGAATAATTCTGCCATTTTATTTCAGCTTCCTGTTTCCTATAAAGCCAGATTTCAGCATTTTTCGTCAAATTATTTTAGAAGCCATCTCCTTGGCACTAGTGAGCTCCTCTCTGCTCATCTTTGTGGGCAAGAAGATTGCCTCTTTCCATAACTACAATGTCAATTCCAATCAGGTGAGAGGACAGATCTTCTGCTACTTCAATCTTTGTTCTCTAGTCTGAGCCTCGCCAACATGAAGACATGATTCTTCTGTGATCCAGTCTTGAACCACACTTTGGGCTATAGTTCCCAAAGGATTTTTTTTTTTTAAGATCTATTTATTTATTTACTTACTTACTTATTTACTTATTTATTTATTTGTTTATTTATACAAGAATCGGAGTACAGGCCAGTTGCGCGGGAGGGTGAGAGGATTCCCCAGAGACAGAGTGGGGAACAGAACAGGCAGACTGACGAAATACACTGCTGAGGGGAGCAGCTGGCAAGACAGGAGAGGTCTGCCGCGCCATGTGGGACCCTGACTGGCCAGCTGGGATTGAACTGGCGCTGCAGAGGCTGTGGACAGCTTCACAGCGCTGCGCTCAACTGCCTGCGCCACCAGAGGAGGACCTACCAAAGGATTTGTGAGAAATGTGTCAAACTGAAGGTTGAAGCCACTCTAGTTAATGTGAGTGCTGTTCCCCTAGAGAGGATATGTTGTAGGGAGAGAAGAGGATAAAAGATGGCATCATATTTTAATTAAGCTAGCAGAATGTCCCTTTCCTCTGTATTTTATCTTCCTTTCACCAAGTCCTCAGAAGCCAAACATATACTGAGGCACAATAAGAAAAGCTATGGATTATCAAAACCATACTACTAATATAATTAAGCTAGTCTCCAAAAAATAGTTTTTGTCTTTTTTTTTAAAGATTTATTTATTTATTTATACAAGCACTGGGCACAGTCAGAAGCACGGGAGGGTGAGAGAATTCACCAGAGCCAGAGCAGGGAGCAGAGCAGGCAGAAGGACCAAAGTACACTGCTGAGGGGAGCAGCGGGCGGCAGGAGAGGTCTGCGCGTCATGTGGGTCCCTCCTCTGGTGGCCGGGGAGCAGCCGGGGATTGAACCGGTGCTGCAGAGGCTGCGGGCAGCTTTGCAACCCAGCGCTCAACCGCTGCGCCACTGGGGAGGCCCTGTCTTTATTTTTTTTTTTTTAAAGATTTATTTATTTATTTATACAAGCACTGGGTACAGTCAGAAGCGCAGGAGGGTGAGAGGATTCACCAGAGCCAGAGCAGGGAGCAGAACAGGCAGACTGACGAAGTACACTGCTGTGGGGAGCAGCAGGCGGCAGGAGAGGTCTGCGCGCCATGTGGGACCCTCGCTGGTGGCCGGGGATTGAACCGGTGCTACAGAGGCTTCAGGCAGCTTCACAGCCCAGCTCTCAACCGCTGCGCCACCAGGGGAGGCCCTCTTTTCTTTTCTTTAATCTCTGAGTTTGGCCCAGTTCCTTGGAACTCAGAAGGGAAATATGGAAACAAGTGGATCCCACTTTGACTTTTAGGATAATATTGAAGGAAGGAAGAAAAATGATGTCATGTTTCTCTGTCACTCTAAGTCCCAGTGATTGTGTGAAAGAGAAAAATAAGCAAAAGTCTCACTTTCTCACTTTGAAATAGTGCTTTCCTTATGATCACTAGCTAAAATATTCAACTTAATCTAAAATCAGGTTATCATCCTTTTGCTCTAAAAATATTTTTATTTGAGGTGATGTAAACAGCCTTCTCTTCATACACAAGAAATATCAATATATGCACCTTAGTTTCAAACTCAAATTAGCATTTTTCGACAAATAGTAGGTCTTACTCCATTTTCTGTTTCTTTGTAGGATTTAATAGCCATGGGCCTTTGCAATGTTGTCAGTTCATTTTTCAATTCTTGTGTGTTTACTGGTGCTATGATCAGGACTATTATCCAGGATAAGTCTGGAGGAAGACAACAGGTATGTTGAAGTAGAATTTGATCTCTAATATATAAAGGTATTTATGTCTATTCATAGATCTATTCATAGAAAGGAATTATATTAGCTAAATCGTGTTGCTGTTTTAATGTTAATGTTTTTTTGGAAAAGACCTCTTGGAGGAATTTAGATTCCATGCTTGCTTTAATTTTGTTTAAATTTTGTCTTAAAAGCTATTTGTCCTTTGGAATAGGAAAGTCATTTTCTATAGAAGTATTCTATGCAAGAGGCTTCAATGTAGCCCACAAAAACCTATTTTTCCATGTAACATACATACCTAAAAGATAATATTTCAGGTAAACTAATCATCGCCTACTAACTTTTTTTTCCTATGGGCAGTTGTATTTTTGACCTAGATTGGAAAGAAATAAACAAATCTCTCCATCCTAGCAACAGGATTAGAAATTTTTCTAGTTTCCACAAACGGTATGGCAGGAGGCTTTCACGATAGAGTAGTAGATCTTTGTGTAGATGAGCCTAGGAATTTATGATTAGTCTACCTTTGTATAAGAGAAAAATATCTAGACCAGACTCTCTTCAGGTATTCTGAGTTAGTAAACTAAATATATTTGTAAGTGGAAAGGAAAGGGAAAATAGAGAATGATGGTAGAAAAGACTCTAAAAGCAAACTCTAATTGCAGGCATGAGATTTTGTAAATTCAATGTTTCCAGTTTTGAGTTGACTAGATAAAAGATAGCTTTACAACATGAGAGGTGTCTCATCACAGCTATGTAGCATGATGAAATGTCAAAGAACTATCAAACTGAAACTGGCGTAAGCCCAGGGAATGAGTCGAAGAAAAGCTTTAGCCACAGAATTATGGTTGGAGTCTATGGTCAGAGGCCGACGTGTCAGAACAATGACATTAAATTTTAATAGGGAACGATACAGTTGAAACATAAGATAAAAGCTAATAGAGTACGCAGGGGCAAGAGCATGAGTCTAGAGTAAGATCATGCCATATTGTTTTATGTGGAGTGAATTTTGTTGTAATAGAGCTCCTTCCAGACACATTATCCTTTAAGGTATAGCTCTATCCCACTACTATTTGGCAGAAAGAAGGAAGTTGGGTTATATTAAAAAAAGAAGGATGTTCTATGCAAGTGTGCAAAAACTTTGAAATCAAAATGAAAGATTTTTAAGAAATGTAAATGGTAATTCTAGACATTCATTTCTTTAAATTTATTTTTATTAAAATAAATGATACACATTCATTGGTGGGATTTTTTTCCCCACCACCATCCCTTGTGACTCCTTGTCCCTTTTCTCTCTCTTCTCTCCTAACCATGGAGGGAACCACCCTCAGGATGTTTGTTAATGTCCACTACTTTTTGAAAGTGTTTAATGTCAAATTGTCAGTTCTGTGAATGTCTAATATTTGCTCTTATCATTTTGACTTATTTTGCTGCATATAATTTTCACAAATTCCCTCCATTTTGTTAAAAATGGCTGCATCTCACCCTTTCTTCTGGCCATGTAATACTCCATGGTGTGTATGTACCACATCATCTTGATCCATTCGTATGTTGAGGATTTAGGCTGCTTCCATGTCCTTTCCTAGCTATTGTAAGTAATGCTACTGTGGATGTCATGGAATATGTGGGTATTTTTGTTGATGGTTTCATATTCTGTGGATATATGCCCAAGAATGGGATTTTTAGTTATCTCAAGGTCAATCCAGATTGTTTTCCATGTGAGTGTCACTAGTTCACATTCTAGTGGCATAATAGGGTTCCTTTTTCTCCTCATCCTCTCCAGCATTGTTGGGGTCTTTTTAATATGTGCCATTCTCACAAGTATGAGATGATATCTCATTGTGGTTTTAATCTGCATCTCTTTTATTAAGATGAACATTTTTTCATATGTCTTTTGGCCTTCTGGATATCTTCTTTGGTGAATTCAGACTTTTTTTTTTTTAGCTTTTTGCAACATCTTTTAATTCAGAAGATAAGCATAATATAAATTCAGGGAGAAAAGATGCACACAGAAAAAACAAAATTACAATGTGAGGAAAATTAAGGGCAGAATAAGTAATATAAATTAACAGTGCCATGAATATTGCAAGGAAAGGAATGATGGAGGAACTGGGACTTTTGTGGATTTTAAAAAATTAATTAATTTATATATATTTTATATCATTGTTCATTTTTGTACAATGTTTGCTTTCTCCTCTCAGGTGTAGTCCCTGTAGAATTCCCACCACCAATTCACCCGTGCACCATCCCATAGTCCCTTGTGCTCTTCCCACCCCTGTTTTGATCCCTCTTCCTCCCCCTCTCCTGCAGAATATCTCTGATTTAAGCTGCCTGTTAATTTTGTTTATTTACTATTATTTTTTTCTGATCCCTTATTTGGTTCCCCTATAGTCCTCCTGTAAGTGAAACCATCAGATATTTTTCTTTTTCCTTCTGGCTTATTTCACTGAGAATAATCCCTTCCAGCTCTATCCATGTTGCTGCATGAGTTTCTTTTTTGATTTCTGAGTAGTATTCCATTGTGTGTATATATACCACATTTTCTTGATCCAGCCATCTATTGTTGGGCATTTGTGTTGTTTCCATATCTTACTTATTGTAAATAGTGCTGCAGCAAACATGGGGGTGCAGGTATTCTTTTGAATGAATGTTTTTGTGTTCTTTGGGTAGATTCCTAAGAGTGGAATTGCTGGGTCATATGGTAGCTCCATTTTTAGTAGTTTGAGGAACCTCCACACAGTGTTCCATTGTGGTTGGACCAAGTTTGCATTCTCACTAGCAGTGTAGGAGAATTCTTTTTTCTCCACATCCTCGCCAACATTTGTTGTTTCATATACTTGTTGGCCATTTGCATTTCCTCTTTGGAAAAGTGTCTATTTAGCTCTTCTGCCCATTTGTTTTTTGACTGGATTGTTTACTTTGTTTTTATTGAATCCTGTGATCTCTTTGTAGGTCTTTGTGATCCGCTTCTTATCAGTTGTATGAAGTGCAAAATTTTTCTCCCAATCTGAGGGTGTCTCTTTGTTTTGGTTAATGTCCCTTGGTGTACTGAAGCTTTTTAATTTGTTGTAATCCCAGTGGTTTTTCTTTTCCTTCATTTGCTTTGGGGGATAAGTGTTTAAAGATGTTACTGAGATGTGTGTCATGTAGTTGGGTTTTTTTTTAAGATTGATTTATTTATTTACACAAGCACTGGGTACAGTCAGAAGCGTGGGAGGGTGAGAGAATTCACCAGAGACAGAGCAGGGAACAGAACAGACAGACTGATGAAGTACACTGCTGAGGGGAGCAGCGGGTGGCAGGAGAGGTCTACGCACCATGTGGCACCCTCACCGGTGGCTGGGGATCGAACCAGCGCTGCAGAGGCTGCGGGCAGCTTCACAGCCCAGCACTCAACCCCTGCGCCACGAGAGAGGCCCTGTGTCATGTAGTGTTTTACCTATATTTTCTTCTATATCTTTTATGGAGGTCTTACATTCAGGTCTTTTATCCATTTTGAGTTGGTTTTTGTGTATAGTGTGAGGTAGTGGTCCAGTTTCATTCTTTTGTATTGTGGTAGTCTAGTTTTCCCAGTACCATTTATTGAACAGACTGTCCCCATTCCATTGCATATTCTTTGCTCCTTTGTCAAAGATTAGTTTGTCAAAGATACTTGTGTGGCTTTATTTCTGGGTTTTCTACTTTCATGGAGTTTTGCAGGAGGGCTAGGAAGTGCATACATGGAGGAAGGAAGATAAGCTTCAGTTCAGCTCAGTGTTGCTTTTCTCCTATAGAACTAAGAGCCTGCCTCCAAGGCAGCCTCTGGCTCTCCTGTTTTATGCTGCTGCACTGTTTTCTCGAGCAGCTCACTCCCCTACATAGGCATCTTGCTCTGGTGAATGATGCTTCACAGGGAGCCATTTCCCTAGTGATGCTAGTAAGCCTGTCCCTGACACCTTGATGTGCCCAGTGCGAATTGCTGGGTCAAGCGGAGAATGTTGTTGACCCCTGGCCCTCTATATTGAATCTACCCAGCCTCCACCCTGAGTTTCTGATGTGGACTGTCAAGGACCTCTGAGTTGCAGTCAACTGTCTTCTTCCCACAGCAGTGGGGTGTTCTCTCCACCCCTACCTTCTTGTGGTTTTGATTTACTCTGCCTGAGAACACCCCGCTTCTTCAACGTTCCTCAGAAGTACAGGAAAGAGAAACTAGGTGCTGAGCCTCTTGTCATCAAGGGCCATTTTATTTTCTTTTATCTGGCATAAAAACCAGTTGCTTTCACTGGTTGCAGCAAAATCTCTCAGCTATTTCAGCCCTGGCCTGAGCTTAAGGTATTGGCAGGCCCATGACACAGAGAGATGTGAAGAGCCCCAAACTTGTTGTCAGACTTTCCCCCACTCCACCTTCCAGCACATCCAGTTTTGATCACTGTGCTTCTGGTTCTCTGTGATTGAGTTCCCTTCTTTGTTCTCTGTTTTCCAGGGACTGCCTCTTTGCCTTGTCCTTAGGATCCCAGGAGTGCTTAAAAATTAGCTGCTATAAAAGAAAGAATCATTAAAAAAGGAAATATGTTGTTTTCTTTTTAGAGGAAATAGGGAATAGAAAACCAAGATTTTGGGGTCAGATAGGTGGGTTAAAGCCATGCCTTCTAGCTGTATGACCTTTGTCAAGTTCCTTTTGCTTTCTGAGGCTCTCATTCTCATCTGTTAGATGGGAGAAGACTAGCTGTTCAGTTGTGAGAATTAAACTGGAATGTAACATCACAGTATCTTTCACTTGGATATTCCTATTCCGGGTCCTTAGTGGCCTCACTGGTACTTGACATTTCTACTGATGGAGCCCACTATTTATGGAGTGATTGGGGTGTGAGGGCCTGCCTGTCCATAGTGGCTGGTTGTGGGAACTCGCATTGCCTTGAATCCCCAGAGAGAAGGAAAAATGTGTGTTTGTTTAAAAAAAGCCTGGAAAAGTGATAGAAAATTAAAACAGGAAAGCACAATATGCATAAGATATAAAGTTCTACATGCTTGCTGTTTTTAGACCCTGGCACTGAGTCTGAGACTCTTAAGACTCATCAAGCCTCCTTCTAAGACACAGTGCCACCAAGGATGGTCCTCTGACCCTAAACCCCACTACTTTGGGTACAGTCAAAACACAGGGGCACAATTTATTGGGAGATCTCTCAACTCCCTCTGAACGGCAGCAAATTTTATGGAATTCAGTGTCTGGTTTGCACTCCTTTTATTCTAGGTTTTATATAACTTATTTTAACATTTGTATGTCTTTGTTTCCTTAAAAATTATCAGAAGAATTTTGGAGGAAAGTAGTAGTTGAAAGGGAAAATCCGGATATATTTTCTTGCGCTAATCAAAGTGGTGTTTTGTTTTTAATTTTTCCTAGAGTTCCAATCCTTAAATTAGATCCAGCAGCAGGCTGGTGTGTATACTGGCAGGAGAAGTTTATGGTCTCAGTTGCCTGTCTCAGTTGTACAGTGTATAAAATGTTAGCCATTAGAACTCCTAAGTTTCAGTTACAGTGATCCATTTTCCTGAATTGTTCCTCCCACACTACTTTTACGTCACTCACCTTTCCCAAATCAGGATGCTTCTGTTAGCTGTGAATCAGCTGGGATGAGGAAAGAAGGAAGCAGGACATTGATTTCATTGCTGTATTTTCAGTGATGCAATTATGAGGCAATACCAGCAGTGAGTGGTGAGAAGAAATCCACTAAGAAGTTATCCCCTCCCTACGCTGCCAGCACCCAAGAAATGAAGGGGAAAATTAGACAATCATTGCTAAGGGTCATTTACTGGTTTGATTTGAGGGACTCTTATAGTTCTTGTTTGTATATGTCATTGTTTTGATATATAGTTATTATAGCTTTATTCTCTATCCCTTTCCCCATCACAGTGGAAGATTACACTGCTTTCTATTATTTTATCTACCTATTAGGAACTTAAATGAAAATTATCAGTAGAAGAAAGAATGAGTTCAAGACTATGTCCAAAGAGCTTTGAGACTGTAAAGGGAACTTTACATAGTTTCTCCCAGTATTTGCCAAATCAGATTCACTCCTTACCAGGTCACACTGGGTAGTCAATGCAATTGGGATACAATCCAGAGCTGCTACAAGCCATGACTCATCTTTGTAACTTTTTGTGATGGTAACAAAGCAGAGCAAAACTGAAGTAGGAAAATCAGAAGTGATTATCATTGTATTTTTAAGATGAAAGTTCAGTGATAATGTTCAATGCAAAGCTATCCAAGCTCTAACAGGAGCATGAGGGGTGAGATATTTACTGGTATGGGAGTGAGATGGTTGAGATTTTAGGGCCAACAGTGAGGGATCTTAGTAGATTCCATTCTGAACTGTGCAAGAAGGGATATGGAGGGAATGCAAGTCAGATTTTTGGGAGAGCAGATTCATAGTGCAAAGCCATAGCAATAAAGATTCAAATACCTAAGATGATTTGGAACTTTTCAGAAAGCATTCGTGTATTCACTCAACAAGTATTTATTGAGTATTCATTATGTGTGCACCTTGACAAGAGCTGAAAATATTAGCCCAACAAAAATGCACTTATGCTGAATGGTTACACTAAACTCCTTTTAAGAAAAAAACAAAAAATGGCATGCTTCTCACCAAGCAAAAGGCCCCAGCCTCAGCTGGAGACAGGGACCAGTGCATTCCTGATGGTCTCTCTCCAACCGGCTCTGTCTCCTCAGTTTGCATCTCTGGTAGGCGCAGGTGTGATGCTGCTCCTGATGGTGAAGGTGAAACACTTCTTCTACGAAATGCCAAACGTAAGTAGAACTGATCAATTTACTGAGAGAGAAAGACTGGCTTTCCACATTGCATCATGGTGGGGCATTTTCCAAGGAGAACTGCAAACTCAGCTTATCAATCGGGGGTTGCCTCAGCTGACCTCTAGCCCCTTTCCTTTAAGATAACAGTATCTGCCTCACAGGATGGGGAGATAATGTGTATAGAATATTGAGAATACTGTTGAGCTTCTAGTAAGTGTTCAAGAAACACTGGTTATTATTGTTATTATTCTCTTTCTCAATAATCTTTCTTTTGTTGCTAAAGCTATACAGCAAGGTTTATAAGTAAGAATTCAGTTTAAAACGACCAAAATAGACTTCAGATGCCAGAACGCCCATTACCAACCCAGGCTTGGAAGCTCATTGCACATTCATGCCATCTGTTTCCTACACTGTTTCCAGAAGGCCTTGTTTTGCATCCACGTGAACTCAATCCCTCTCTTGCAGCCACACTGCCTCTTGGTTAGCTCACAATACTGAAAGGCATGGTCTGGAAGTTGAGTTTTAACTAACTGTGCTCAGCTAGGATGCCCTATGTACTTGGGTGCCACTTCTTCCATTTGGATGAGACCCATCACCTTGCACTTAGAGATGTCAGAGGCATGATTTCTTGGCTATAATCAATTTGTTCTAAGTTGGGATATAGATCATTGCTCAGAGACCATAATTTCCTCTTAAATTTCCTCCATGTTCCTGTTAGCCATTCTGAGAGAGTGCAGTGGGAGATGGGAAGAGGCGTCACTTCTGGGGTAGCAACAGAGCCATATGCTAAAGCTGGAGAAGTGGCAAAAGTTATCCACATCCTCTCCTCTGAACACATCCATTCCACCTGGTGAATATCAGGTATCAGTCAAGCAGAACCACCTCAAGGCTGATGCTGCCCTCTGCTCTTGTGACTCAGGGGCCTTGGAACCCAATCATGGAATCTGTGTGTTGAGGGTGGGATTAAGCATGTGTTTATCACACAAACAATCCTCTGATTCCAGCAGAAATCACGTGGGCAATTTAGTTTCTACAGTGTGTTGGAGCTATAACTCGTGGAGTCTATTTTTGGAGGGTAACTTTCTAACTTAATTTGAACACTCATATTTTCTCTTTATAGCTAAAATAATTAGAATTTTGTCAATGCCAAACAAAGAAAAATTGGTCTGAATTCACTGAAGGGAAGTGGCAAAAGTTGGTAGCATTTCCTTGTTATAAATATGGTGAGAACAGAACAGCCCTCGCTTTTGGCTAAACATGATAGATCACATTATTTTTACAGCATCTAGTTTAGGACATTTCTGGGTAAGATACAAACACAGCCTGATCAGTGGAATAGTTGACTTAGTATAACAGTGGACTGTGAGTCTCAAACTATGAATGAGTCCTTCCTTCCTTGAGAGGCTGTAGATGACTTGCTGCAAGGAGTACTTGGCTGGGCATCCACACAAGCATCTCAGCTTCTTAGCAGGGGAGAGTCAACACAAATTTTGAAAAAGAGGATACAAAATAACATACTCAATATTGTTCCAATTTTGTGGAAGAAAATATAAAACATGTCCTGTCCCAATGTTAACAATGGTTATCTGCTGGATCATGGAAATCAGGCATAAGTTTAACTGTTCTTTACATAGCTATTATGTTTTACCTTAATATTCTGAAAAGTAAAGATTTTTTTCTGCAAAATGTTTTGTGAAAAGATATGTTCCCTCCTCACATTCCTGGCCTTAAGCTAGAAATCTGGCAAAATTCCTATGAAGGCAAGTGTATGTATTTGATTAGACAGTCAGTGGAAGCATAGACATGATGTTGTTACGGGCTATCAATACAAAATATCCATTGAGGTTGACTAGGTTTTTGTGGTTCTTTGTGAAAATTTGGGCATTTTACCCCCAGAGGGAAAGCAAAGCAAGGTTTCCCTTCTCTTCACAGGCTGTGCTGGCTGGTATTATTCTGAGCAACCTCCTACCCTACTTTGAAACCATTTATTATCTACCCAGTCTGTGGAAGCAGAGTCAATATGACTGTGTGAGTACAGAGGCACCGGCTGAAGTAGGGCAGGACAGAGGGGAGGGATCGAGAGAGGGAACGATAACAAATGAGAGATCAGCCACAAAAGAACAGGCAGGACTGGCAACTCTTTGATGCCTAGGACACTATTTCTGCTTAAAAAATGGAGTCATGGTTGTTAGGGCATAAAAATATTGTGACCTCATTCCAACTATGCAAATCAAAGAAGGGGAATGAAGTGGTTGTGGTTACATACAAATCTGGTAAAAGAAAAAAAAGTTTGTTACACATTGCATATTTGAAAAACTTTTAATCCAGTTAATATGAATACTTCCCAGCATAGGAGAGACAAGTCCTAAAAAAAGAAGGGGTGCCTTGCCAGGCAGAATAACTGACGGAGCATCCTCTTTTTGCCTGGAGCACAAGGCTAGAGAACATAAATAGGAAAGAGCTAGAAATAAAAGATAGGAGATATAAGGTGATGAGAGGACAAGGACCCAGTGGAGGCAGAAAAATATGAAAGAGAAGAATTTGGGAGCTGGTCTCTGAGGAGCTAAAAGGGATGGAAGCTAGTGCACAGGTTGACCTTCTGGTCCTGAAGGGAGAGTGAGCTCTTCCAAGAGGACTGAAGAAAATGAGGGAAAGTTGAGTGAGTGTAGTGTCTAACAAGTGGTAGGTAGAAGTAAATATTTTTTAAAGATTTATTTATTTATGCATTCAAGAACGGGGGTACAGGCCAGAGGTGCGGGGGATGAAAGGATTCACCAGATGAAAGGATTCACGGGGGAACAGAACAGGCAGACTGACTGAAATACACTGCTGAGGGGAGCAGCGGGCGAGTCAGGAGAGGTCTGCTGTACCAAGTGGGTATCTCCCTGCCCGGGGATCGAAGTCATGCTGCAGTGGCTACAGATTGCTTCATAGGTTGCATCTTAACCCCTTGTACCACCAGGCCCGGAAGTAAATATTTAAGGGAGTTTTGACCTATCTTCTCTATGAGAATGAAAGTTAAGTCACCCACTGGGGTGGGGGTTTGAAAAGGATGTTAAAAATCCCCAATAATCAGTGTAGATCTTAAAACAGCCATTACCAGTTGGTGAGTGTTCTGGGTTGCTTTGCAAGTAGTATTTCTTCCCTCAACAAAGCCTATAAAGAAGATATAAATTAAATAGCACTATTTTGCACATAGTGAGGATAGTCAAGAGAGAATTGAAGAGAGATGACCAGGTACGCATCAAAGAATTGCTAGACGGCTTTGGGCCCAATCATTGGTGATGAAATCACTCCACAGGGTGTGGAATTTGTTCCCTAAACCCCAGGTGTCTGGAGGGAGGCGGTGAAGGTGAATGGAGGGATAGGTCTTCAATTCTGCTTGTGTTTATGGTTTTCCTTTTCCCCCTTTTCCATAGGTTATTTGGGCGGTGACATTCTTAGCTTCACTTCTCCTGGGACTCGATCTTGGACTACTCATTTCAATAATGTTTGCCTTCTTCATTGTTACCGTTCAGTCACACAAGTAATTTGTCTCAGGTAATAGATTAGCCATGTCAAAGTAAGGTAACTGTGACCTAAAGACAAGTGCATTTCCTTTCAGAACTAAGATTTTCCTCCTGGGTCAGATCCCTAACACCAACATTTATAGAAACATCTCGGACTATCGGGAGGTAAGAACCTAAATAAGTCCCATTCTTTTGCCCAGGGATGGGGTGGACCAAGCCTGCTACTTAGTTTTTCTACAAAAGTCCCTCTGTTGCTTGCTGCACTACAGATGGACATTTACAAAGATGTGGAAAGTGATGTATGATGGTAGAAGTGAGTAACTTAGTTAGGTAAACCCTCATAGATTGCAGCCAGTCAAGTGTAATATTTAATTGTGTTGTGTATGAAGAACACACACAAAAAAGAGACAACTGAAGACGGAGGGAAAAATAAGAATGCAGGAAAGGCAGGGGGTAAAATAGGAGGAAGGAGTTTGCTGGTTCTTGCTTGTTACAAAGAAGAATATAGACTCCTCAAATTCAAAAGATTTTTTTTTCTCACTGCATAAAAGAGTTGAGAAGTTTTCCCTCAACTTTGCATTTGTGTTGCAGATTACGAGCATTTCTGGGGTAAAGATCTTCCAGTGCTGCAACGCCATTACCTTTGTAAATGTTCACTACCTAAAGCACAAGCTGCTGAAAGAGGTGACGCTTTCCTCACCTGCCTTGCTTCCACCTGCCTCCTTCCCTCTCCTCAAGCATGCCTCTCCTGTACCACTCCCCATTTGAAGGAGACTCCTCTGATACTTTTCCAGATTGAAATGAAAAGGGTGCCTCTTAAAGAAGAAGAAATTTTCAGACTGTTCAATCCAGGCCATCACTTCCAGAGGGACCACATTTGGAGGTGTTACTGCAACTGTGATGAACTGGAGCCACTGCCCAGGGTTAGTGATCCCTCTTCTTTTCTGTACTTCTCCCCACATTTTATGAAGAAGTGCACTAGTAGCTTTTTTAAAAAGTAAACAGAAAGAACATCAATCCCCCCACCTCAGGAATGTTGACATTTAGATGGACTGGAGATACTCAGAAATGAAAGATTTCTACTCAGAAATGAAAACATAGGTTCCCCTTTGAGGCTGACATCTTGACCTGAAAGTAGGTGGGAGGAAATTCCTTTGAGTCCCTATGATGACTGTGATTTCTGACTGCAAAGCATATGTTCTGCCTTTTGAGGTTGTCAGTAATTCCTCGTGGTACCTATTTTCCTAACCTTTAGCTGCTAGGCTTTAGATTTCTGAAATCAAGTGACTTTGGGATTGGATTCTATTTTTTTGTACTAATTTACTTATCTTTAACTGAAGTGACATGAGGACCTAATGTCACACGGGGTGACATTAGGTATTACCACCATAGTGCAGCCACCACAGACCATTGTGCTTCCTTCTCTCTTTGTGCTTACCCTTCCTTCCCTTGGTGCTTCAGTTCTATAGTCAGCTCTCAAGGGTTAGTTTTAAGCATTAGTTACTTTATATTCCACATATGAGTGACACCATCCAGTATTTTTCTTTCTCCTTCTGACTTATTTCTCTTAGCATTATAGGGTTGTATTCTAAGTCCATCTAATGCAGAGTCAAGGGGGCTGGGATTCATAAGGGTCTGCCAGGGTCTCCTGATGTCTGCCTGTGATCAAGGAAATGATGAGGGAGCGAGGGGCAGAAAAAGGGTAAACATAAATAAGGATTTTGTAGCATCCCAAGGTTATTTTAGCTGATAACTAACTTGAACTTGGTCTAAATAGTCCCTTTCCTTAGAACAAGGTTGCTCATTTCTGGTTTTGGACCTTTCATCCAATCTACACCTACAACCTGGAGAGACTGCAGAGAGAGAGCAAAACAGAGATTTACTCACACAGTCAGATGCCTCTCCTCCTCTTCCTCACACAGGCAGCAACAAACACTCTGGTTCCTATATGCCCTAGTAGAGAGTAGGTTCTGCAGAGCTCCTCAAAATGTTAGCTTTCCTGCCAAGAGGACAGAATTAACAACATACCTCATTTTTGCTTTGTATCCACATGCACTGTATACTGTGGAGGATGATTACAGGACAGCCGCACATTGAAGTCAAATAGGATCATCTAGTATTTATTCAGCACCTTCTGTATGTCCAGAGCTACAAGAAAGGGAAAAGAACTTTAAAGGGCCTCTAGCTTTAGGTTATTACCTTCTTCATTTTCCTTTTTTTTATTGTAATTAAAAAAAATTGCCAATATACACATTATTTCCTGCTACAAATATTATTTTTTTAGCTTCACCATTTTTGAGTAAACGTTTCAGTAGTGTTAAGTACGTTCACAATGTTGTGCAATCATCACCACCACCTATCTCCAGAACTTTTTCATCTAACAAAACTAGAACTCTGTACCCATTAACAACTCCGCATCTCCCCCTCTTCCCAGCCCCTGGCAACTACTATTCTACTTTCTGTTCTATGAATTTGACTATTCCATATATCTCACAGAAGCAAAATCATAACAGTATTTGTCTTTTTTGTGACTGGCTTACTTTACTTAGCATAACATTCATCCAGGTTGTTCTTTTAAGAGAATGCTTTTTTCCCTGGAAAAAAACATACACATATAGAGACAAGTATAATGAGTATATATGCCCACCACTGCCTTAAGGCTTATCATTCCATATTCACTCTTGTTTCATTACATTTCCACCCACCGGTAACCCCTTGAAATCACAGGAATATTTTTAAGCGATTCATGAAGTTTTGTTTTTTTTTTTTTTTTTATGTCTTCTTTTTTAATTTTTTTTAAAGATTTTTTTTAAATAATAAATTTTATTTTTATATTCCCCCATACAATTGCAAAAGCCCCATTCTGACCCCAATCCTTCCCTTCCCGCCCCCCACCCCCCAAAAAGTGTCTCTGGTTCATAGTTTTTTGTTGATTTTGATTTTCACTTTCTTATATTCATTTTCCTGGTCCCTTATTTAAGTTTTCTAGATTCCTGCTATGAGTGAGACCATCCGGTATTTTTCTTTTTCTTTTTGGCTTATTTCACTGAGCATGATCCCTTCCAGCGCCATCCATGTTGCTGCAAATTGCATGTGTTTATCTTTTTTGAATGCTGAGTAATATTCCATGGTATATATGTACCACATCTTCTTGATCCAGTCATCTATTTTTGGGCATTTGGGTTGTTTCCAAAGCTTAGCTATTGTAAACAGTGCTGCTATAAACATAGGGGTGCAGGTGTTCTTTGGAATTGATGTTTCTGTGTCCTTTGGGTAAATACCTAGGAGTGGAATTGCTGGATCATATGGAAGCTCTATGTTTAGTAGGTCCAGAAATCTCCACACAGCTCTCCATAGTGGTTGGACCAGTTTGCACTCCCACCAACAGTGCAGGAGAGTTCCTTTTTCTCCACACCCTCGCCAACATTTGTTGTTGCTATTTTTTTTAATATGTGCCATTCTCACTGGTGTGAGATGGTATCTCAGATTCATGAAGTTTTAAATCAAACCAAGGAGCGAGCGCTCTAATAATGTGACACATAAAGCTATGGTTGTATTTTATCAGTCCTAAAAACATACATTTTTCCACATCTATGATATTTGGATGCATTGTGCAATTGAAGGCATTATTATACTTTAACTTACAGAATTTTTTTCTTGATGGTGCAAAAAAAAGTCATGCATCTTATAATTGACAAATAGGATAGTAACCGGTACCATATCTTTGTGTCCTAAATTGTGTGCTTAGATTGTAACAACTCTTACACTTCAGGTAAAGCAAGCTTGACATGACCTCAAAAAGTCAGGGACAGTTCAGTGTAGCAATGGACTTGAACTGGGCAGTAAAGAGAAATTTGGATGAATCCTTATCCTTTTTACATTTGCCTAACAATTCTTGTTCAGATATGTTGTTTATCCCTTGAATGGATGCATGCCCTCGCCCCAGGTAGACTCCCGGGTCGCAGGACAAGTTGGCATTCACCTCTTGCATGCCATTGCATTCAGAATGCTTAATACTGTCCTTAAATTGTGGCAGGCACCCCAGGCCCATTAGGAACATGACAGGAGTTAAAGCCCTGTTCAAATAATTTTCTTAAGAAAGTCTGACCAAAGACTATTGCACCAATAAAAGATGGAGGTATTGAGAAAAGAAACTGATGGATGCAGTATTTCAAAGTATCGGTAGGCACTGGAGACTACACAGAACCCAGGAATGAGGGAAAGGAATCCATCAAAGGTGATCTTCAGCGTGGCTCACTAGGATAATGATGTCATTGATGCACACCGGGAAGCTGGAAGGGGGGATATTGAGTGGCGAGGATAAGGAAAGATGAATGTAGTTCTTAGACAAGAGCTTGAAGAGACAGAGGTCCAAGTCAACAGTGTACAGTACCTAGAGTGGGGGGACATCCCTAAGAGGGAGAGAAAGTGAATGAATAGATAGAAACAGCACAGTTGCAAGTATTTCCAGACCTTGCTTGAGTTTTATCACAGTCCTCCCCTAACACTGTTGTTCCAGATTGTCTATACAGAACGATTTGAAAGTAAACTGGGCCATGATACATCCTCCATTAACCTGATCCGCTGCTCACGTTTGGAAAGCATAAACATGAGCGAATCTTCGTCTGAAAGACAAATACCATTCACGGTATCTTCCATGTCCCGGAGAATTCCAGAGCAAAACTATGAGGATGTGGAGGACCTTTGGTTTCCTAATAATGTCTCTGGAAAGAGCTCGATTCCACTTTCTGCTCCAAATGAAAGTTTGATCAGGGACACAGCACTCGCCCCTTACTCAAGCATAACTGTTCAATCTGCCACCCACACCATCATCTTGGATTTTACCATGGTGCATTATGTGGATTCACGGGCTTCAGTCATATTAAGACAGGTGAGTACTGGGAAGGCTTTAACAATAGCTCTGATCCCCTCTCACCCCCACCAGCCCAACCCCATACCGATTGAATCCTGTTAGTTATGAATCAGCTTCTATGTGATTCCTAGATGACTAGAAATTGGAAACGAAAGACAGTTTAAGGTCAAGCAAAATAAAAACAAAATGAACCAACTTTAATTTATGAACTGGAGTTGGTTCCCTAAACATAGCAAATCTTTTTTTTAAGATTTATTTATTTATGCATACAAGAACTGGGGTTCAGGCCAGAGATGCGGGGCGGGGGGGAGAGGATTCACCAGAGACAGACGAAGGACAGAACAGGCAGACTGACTGAAATACACTGCTGAGGGGAACAGTGGGTGAGACAGGAGAGGTCTGCCTCGACATGTGGGTTGCTCCCTGCCTCGGCCAGGGATCGAACTCAAGGGATCGCCCCTTACTCAAGCATAACTCAAGCAGAGGCTGCGGATTACTTCATAGTGTGGTGCCACCACGGAGGCCCTGACTACAAATATTTTCAAGGATAGGATCGAATGCTACAAAAAAAAAAAAAAAATCACCAAAAATTCTCCCGTTTAGCTAGTTGAGCTACACATTGTAAAAGGCACTTAGGTTTGAAGAGGTTGTGATGAATTAGCACCCCATGCCTGAGGCTGCCTCTTCTAGTACCTGGGGAAACTTCCCCATTCCCTTTTCATTTCTTGCATCTTTGGGTAAAAAGAGCAAGGAAGGGTTTCCCTTCAAAAATTGCATCCTTGAATCCTGATTTCCTTCCTACTTTCAGGTTTCTTTGACAGTTTTCATTTTTTTCCTTCTTATACAAAAGAAATACTTCAGATACACAAATAACCATATTGGTTTGATTGTTTAATGTTTCATAAGTATTATATCTTTGTTCAGCCAATTTAGTTCAGTTCATAGCTCTCTATCTCCTGCTTACTCCTGTTGAAACATCTGGAACACTCACTTCCAAATTCTGACTGCATCCTCCTTTTTCTTGAGATATGTCATTCAGCTAACTTTCCCTCTTCCCTCTTCAGATCCTAAAGGATTCTGAAGGAATAGGAGTTCCTCTTAAGTGAGTCCAACTCCCCTTCATTCTGAATTTCTTTTAGCACAAAGAATTGAGAATGGTGGTCCAGGATCTGGGCTCTGTCCTGGCTTTACTGCTCTCGCTGCCTTGAACCAAAGGCAACTTACTAAATTACAAGGGTCTTGGCTTCCTTGACTAAAATAAGAGCCTTAGAAGAGATCAATGTGATTAATGTGAGATCAATGAGCTCTTTTCCTCTCACCCCATTTTCAGACTTAAATATACTTGATCATGTCTTTTGGGAATTTTTTTTTTTAGTGATTTTTTTTTTTTTTTAGATTTATTTATTTATTTATATAAGCACTGGGTTCAGTCAGAAGCGTGGGAGGATGAGAGAATTCACCAGAGCTGGAGTGGGAAACAGAACAGGCAGACTGATGAAATACACTGCTGAGGGGAGCAGCAGGCGGCAGGAGAGGTCTGTCGCGCCATGTGGGACCCTCGCTAGTGGCCGGGAATCGAACCGGCACTGCAGAGGCTGCAGGCAGCTTCACAGCCCAGTGCTCAACCGCTGTGCCAGCAGGGGAGGCCCTCTCTTGGGCATTTTTATCTTCAGTCATTCCCTGGACTGTGTTCACTTTCTCTCTCTCTCTCTTTCTCTCTCTCTCTCCCTCTTTAAGATTTTATTTATTTATTTTTGCATAGAAGAATCCTCTGGCCAATCCTATATAGTTGAATGCCTACGATATGCCAGACTGAGTTGGGCACATTTATATTCACTATCTCATTTAATTTTCACAACAGCTCTGAGAGACCTCCATATATTGCTCTAAGAGTTCTAGACTTGGGCCTCCCCCATGGTGCAGCGGGTTGAGCACAGCACTATGAAGCTGTCCGCAGCCTCTGCAGTGCCGGTTCAATTCCCGGCCAGCCAGGGAGATTCCCACAAGGCACAGCAGACCTCTCCTGTCTCGCCTGCTGCTTCCCTCAGCAGTGTATTTCAGTCAGTCTGCCTGTTCTGCTCCCCACTCTGTCTCTGGTGAGTCCTCTCACCCCCCCACCCCCACACCTCTGGCCTTTACCCCAGTTCTTGTATGCATAAAATAAATCTTTAAAAAAAATAAGGGTTCTAGGCTCATAGCTAGAATGTGGCCAGTCTATCATTGGAACTTAAAGTATCTGATTTTATGTTACTCTTCTCCCTGTTCTATAGGACCATTGTGCCGCCCTCCTTCTCGGTCTGCTCTCTTGCCTTCCTTTTTCTGTGGCAGCACCTTGTCTTCCCATCCTTAGCACAACCCATCCATACTTGACCTATTTTGATCACTTTCCCTCCTATTCCAACGTGGAAGCAGTACCAGACACTTTCAGTTTACAGCTTTCAGAGTTCATACAGCACTTTTACACCTTAAAAATACAGATCTTGCTATGAGTGAGACCATCCAATATTTTTCTTTTTCTTTCTGGCTTATTTCACTGAACATGATCCCTTTCAGCTCCATCCATGTTGCTGCGAATGACATGAGTTTATCTTTTTTGATTGCTGAGTAATATTCCATTGTGTATATGTACCACATCTTCTTGATCCAGCTGAGGGGGAGGGGAGGAGGGATTAGGGTCAAAATAAGGGGGGTGGAAATTGTATGGGGACTACAACCAAGATGAAAATGCATACATTGTGCAAAAATGAAAAATGATGTAAAAAATATATAAAATAAAACAAATGTAAATTATCAAAAAAATACAGGTCTTTTCATTCCTTTTGTGATTGTTCTATTCAGCCTTATTGGGGGGAAATTGGTCTGTTTCATTGACTTTAAAATTGAAAATTTAAACCTACTTTAAAAAAATCTCAGCAATTGTTCTTATTAGAAACAAGCACTCAGTTTAAGCTTCTTGATTTATGGGACTTCACACTCCCATTGCTTGTCATGTAGAGTCTGTCCATCGTGGCTCCTTACCATATGACTTTATGACTTAGCATATGATCAATCACTTTCTTGTTTCCTTTTGGTAGTGGAATAAGTACAGACTTGTCTCTTTTATTTGTTTCTTCTGACATTTTAACTTAGTGCCCAGGATTAGCATCCACTCAATCCTAGAATATTAAAGTTAGCATCGATTTGCTTTGAGATGAACTTCAAGATTTCTTTCCCTGTGTAATTATATTGCATATATATTCACTGAAATAAACATAAAGTCAGTGTCTGATGTTTAACACCCAGATACCAAATAGCTGATATTTTACGGCAGTCTAATGCAAATTTGCAGAAAAACTCTGAATATGAACATCAGGGTTCCTGACTTCCATTCCCTACTTAAGCACTTGGCTATCTCTAGGCCACATTTTGCCTCCTCTGCTCAGTGAATTCCAGATATAAGGGGGTCACATGCAAATACTAAACAATAATACCAAGACACAATTATTCCTTAGACTCTCCAGTGTGTTCCCATCACACCAATGCGTGTATCTTAGTGCCATCTGTACATGAACATTATCTCTTTATGGAAACTGCGTCCCCCTTTGAGAGCAGAGGCAATCCTCCCTCTCACTTCCCACCCACAGAGACCATCTGATTCTCTTTATATTTCTAGCACTTAAGACATTTCCTGGCATATAGAAGGTCACCCATCAAATGTTTGTAAAGTCGAACTGGAATGCAAAGGTATATATACCCCAGAACAAGCAAGTGACCAAAGGGGTGTTAAAACTCAGCTAATCAGAAGTCCTTTGCTGGTGAATGTGCAGATCTTTAACACTGATTTACTCTCCCCCACAGATGTGCAATGCTTTCCAAAACGCCAACATTTTGGTGCTCATTGCAGGGTGTCACTGTGAGTATCCTTCACCCTATGAGAGGGCTGTGTTTGCACCCTGGACGCTCTCCTCCTCAGGTGTCTAACCCTGTGTGTGTTCTGGGTTTGGTTTGTAGCTTCTTTGGTCAGGTCATTTGAGAGGAATGATTTCTTTGATGCTGGCATCACCAAGGCCCAGATGTTCCTCTCCGTCCACGATGCTGTGCTGTTTGCCTTGTCAAGGAAGTTTGCAGACTATTCTGAGTTAAGCTTGGATGAATCTGAGACAGTGATACAGGAAACCTACTCAGAAAAAGACCAGGTTGGATGATATGAACTATTGGGGGAGGGGAAGGCGGGAGGTAAAGTGGGGACACGTCTGACTAGATAGAGATGAGTTTTTGAATATGGTTATGCTAGACTTTGAGGTATTGAAATACTCCCTTACCTCTTAGTAAATAGCAGTGGACCTGAATCCCAAGTTTCCTCATTGTCATCGCATCTGGGTGACATTCAGGACCCATTCCTAACTAAAGAGAGGGTTACCCAAACCAGCCTACGCCTCAAGGATCTTTTTTCCAGCAAGCTTGGTTACAGTTGCAATGCCAATTATGAAATATTTCAATATAAATATTGCATATTTGAATATAGAGTACTAAATACTTCAAATATCTCCTCTAGATATACCTATAAAATCCACCCAAAGGATGAATAAAAACAATGATGAATTAGCATTATTTACATTGTGAGTAATATGAGATTTATTCAACCTGACCAAATGCAAAGGAGAATGATGAATAAGTCAGAATTTTTAGCCATTTGAATACCAAGTAAAGACCTGGGCATTATTTCAATGTTTTCAAATCAGTATCTGCGAAGGTTAAAAGCTTCCTAACTAAGGGAAAATTAAAGCAGATGGGCACCAAAACATTGTCTACTGACTAGAATTTATTTTTACATTTTTTTTTAATCATCGAAGTCGCCCTATGTGGTAAGCAATTTTCTAAACTTTTTAAATTAAACCCCTGACTCTTTGACTTAATATTCTTTGACTCAATATGTTTAATTTTTTGTGATAAGGCAAGTATTACAGAGTAATAAGTGTTTAAAAAAAAAACAAACTTGGAGAAGTAAAAAATATCCAAGTTTGTAAAACATGGCCTTTTTCTTTTTTGAAGTAATGTGTTACAAAGTATTTCCCTTGCCTTGGTGAGAAGACTCACAGGTTATATGCTTTGGCTTATTCATAACAACTTTTTCCCTGATTGCAAGATTTGAACATATTTTTTCTATTTTGCTCTATAATCTATTCCATTTACAAAATCACAGCATCACAAAACCTTTCAGTTGGAAGAATTTTCAGAGTTCATCCAATCCCTCCGCACCTGGAGCAAGAATTCTCTTAACTTTTCTAACCATATGACCTCCTGCTTATGCTTGGCAATGTCCAGTACTCTCAAATTTGAGTATACATCACAGTCACTAAAATATGCTGTTAAAACACTAACTGCTGTGCCCCTCTTGATTACTGATTCAGCAGGTCTGAGGTGGGATCTGAGAATCTGCATTGCTAACAAGTTACCGGGTTAAGCTGAGGGTACCAGCACAAGCACATATTGAAAGCTACTGCCTCACATACTCAACACCCATCCTTCACTAGCAAAGTTTAGTATGCCTAGTATTCTTTGGGTATGTGCCAGACATTGTATTTGGAAATGTTTATACAAGTAATTTGAGGCCTGAGATGAACTTTTTCTTCCAGAAAGAACTTGATTGTCTTGCCAGATATCTGGAGGTACTAACATTCCAGGGTCACTTTGATCTGATTTCAGGGCTTGAGGATTTCTAAGCCATCCAGATAATCCAAAGCCCAGTTGCAGTCAGTGGGGGCATTTACCATAGTCTTTTTCTTGGCAAACCCTGGAATTTAATTGTGGCAGCCCTAAAACCTTAGAACTGTCAAAAGCACTACTCTGCTTGTATGTGCTTCTCAAGACCAGCAAATATTTTCTATAAAAGCCACCCCAAATACCAGATTCATCTCTCTAGATTACTACTTTTTCTAAATCTTGAACTAGTAGTTCTTCATGATCTTCTTAGCTTTATGGAACCTTCAAGAATAAGTTTTTTAAATATTTGCACAGTTCATCTAGTCCTCAATGGATGGATTGGTGTAAATTATGTAGTCTGCTTATAGTGGAAGTATATATATTTTGTTTATTATGATATATTTGACACATTTGTTTTTTCATATTATATAGTCACTCCTATATTAATCTTTCCTTTTGTTATTTTTCATGTGCTTTTTGTTTAGAAGGTTCATCTCATTTAGGGAGTAAATAAAACTATATTTTCTTCTAGGTTTATATATTTTAATTTTTACATAGTATGCTCTTCAATCTAGTTAAAATGTATTTCAGTGTATGATGTTGATGAGTAATCTTTATTTTTTTAATTAAAATAGTTGACCATTTTGAGCTATCCCCTCTATTAAGTAAACCTTCTTTCCCCACTGATTTGAGATGTTATTTTCATAAAATATTATATTATTATGAAAACTAAAATCTATTTCTAGCTTACTTATTCATTTCACTGTTCTGTTTAGCTTCATTATCACACTGTTTTAATTACTACTCTTGTATAATACATTTTAACATTTGGTGCAGAGGTCCTGTGTCATCAGTGCTCTATTTCAAAATTTGCTAAGACATCCTCACCAATTTATCCAGCTCTTTGAATCTCTTGTCAGGACTCCTTACAAAAACAAACCCTTTTGGAATTTTCATTGGAATTGCATTTAAAATATAAATAATTTGAGAATTGATATTTATAGTATTCATTCTTCCTCTCCAGGGACATGGGCTATTTCTACACTTATTCAGTCTTTTTTTTTTTTCTTTTAATTGAGGTAATAATGGGATTACTCCAATGAGGTATTACCATCATAGTATTCCCACCACCCACTCACCCATATTCTACCACCATAGACAATTGTGCTTCTTTCCCTCTTTGTTTTTACCCCTCCCCCACCCCCTAACCTCTTTGGGGGCTTCATTTCTGTAGTCAGCTCTCAAGGCTTGGTTTTTCAGCTTGTCTTTATCTGACTCTTAGTTTACCTTTATCTGACTCTTTAGTTACTTTATATTCCACATATTAGTGACACCATCCAGTATATTCAGTCTTTTTTTAACTGTTGCATTCATAGTAAGGTTCTGTGACTTTTCATATAGACAAATCTTAGGTATTTTACACTTTATGCTTTACATTTTTGTCTTAAAATGAATTTCCTTTGTTATTATAAATTTATTTTTATTTTTTTAATATTTATTTATTTATGTATACAAGATCTGGGGTACAGGCCAGAGGTGTGGGGGGTGAGAGGATTCAGCAGAGACAGAGTGGGGATCAGAACAGGCAGACTCACTGAAACACACTGCTGAGGGGAGTAGCAGGTGAGTCAAGAGAGGTCTGCTGTACCATGTGGGTTGCTCCCTGGCCATGGATCGAACTCATGCTGCAGTGGCTACAGACAGCTTTAGAGGTTGCATTTTAACCCCTTGCGCCACCAGGGAGGCCCTTTATTATATATTTCTGACAATTGCTAGCATCTAAGAAAGTCATTGATTTTTATAAAATTATTCAATAACGTTTGTAAATTCTCTTACTAATTATAGGAAGTTTCACTGTTAATTCTCTTGAGTTTTGTAGAAAAACAAATATTTTCTACAAATAACAAAAACCAAATTTTCAATTGTTAGAATTCTTATTTCCATATACTATATTTTATGGCATTAACTAAACAATTTAAGTTATAGTGACAAGCCTTATCTTACTCCTGAATTTAATAAGAAATTTTTCTTATGTATCTTTATTAAGGCTGTTTTAGTAACAGTTGACTTAAAGTAGGCATTATAGTTACTATGTTTTCCAGTTTACTAATTTTCTTACCAGGACTTACATTAGGAATTGGTATCAAAAACATCTCAATTTTTTTGCCCTGGTATTTAAGATAGGGAAAACTAGAAGAGAAGCAAGTTCTATTTTAGATGTATTAAATTAAAGATGCCTAGTAAAGATCCAAGTGAAGAAGTCAAGAATGGAAGTGGATATATGAACCAGCAGATTAGAGGATGGATCATAACCAAAGAGTCATTGACACATAAATGGTAGTGAAAATTATGGGACTAAATTGCCTATGAGGAGAGTATAGATGGAGAAAAGAAGTGTCCTGGCATCAATCCCTGTGGTATACCAGCATTCAGAAGTCCAGAAGAAGAAGTAGAAGAGACAGCAGAGACCAGAAAGAAGCAACCAGGAAGGAGGAGGAAAAGCAAGAAAGTTCATTAATGGTGAAAGAGAAGAAAATACTTTTTTTAAAAAGATTTATTTATTTATGCATACAGAACTGGGATACAGGCCAGAGGTGTGGTGGGTGAGAGGATTCACCAGAGACAGAGCGGGAAATAGAACAGGTAGATTGACTGAAATACACTGCTGAGGGGAGCAGCAGGCGAGTCAGGAGAGGTCTGCTGTGCCATGTGGGTAGCTCCCTGGCCAGGGGTCGAACTTGTGTTGCAGTGGCTGCGGATAACTTCATAGGCTGAATTCTAACCCCTTGCACCACCAGGGAAGACCAAAGAGAAGAAAATATTCAGTAAAGGTGCCAGTTGTTAATTTTATAAAATACTGCAGCAAGGCTGATTGATGAAATCTGCTGGACATCTGCTGTATCTCAGGCTTACTGCGTGGTTCTGAGGATATCATGATACTAGGCACTGCCTTACCTTAAGCAGCTGAGAATCTAATAAGGGATATGTATTTACAAATAAATAAAGCAATGCATTGCTGGTAGCATGATAGAGGTATGAGTGAGATATGGTTGGAACAGTAGAAAGCCAAGTAGGCACAGGGAGCAGTATAAGCAGAGGTCAATAATCAAGCATCTTTGGTGAACTGTATGGCTAGAGTAAAAGGTGGGATCAACAGAAAAAGATAAAGATTGAAAGAGTTCAGGTCATTAAGGTCCTTACATGCCCTGCCAAGGGTTGCACTGGGGGTGGAAAGATTAGATCAAGAGGACGAGATGTTTCAGAATGCTGCCAAGACTATTGCAGTTTAAATGGTTGTCCATGAAATACAGTCTACATAGAAAATCCAGAGAAATTAGAAGTTTTGCATTGATTGAGCATGAAGAATAGCAGGTAACTGAGGAACCAAAGGGTACAAAGATGAAAAGCAACTTTAGGCCAGAAATGTTTTCTCGTATTCTAGGAATCTATGATTTCTGGTACCTTAAGTCCTACTATATTCTGATATTACTTGACTGTTCAAAAAGTTAAATTTAATTGGAATTTTTAACCAATTTAATTGTATGTATTTCAGGTAGAAGACTTAAGACATCACATGGACAACAGTCCTCTAGAAATGTCCTCAAATATAAATCCAGACTTCACACTCATGGACTCAGTAACACAGCAGAAGTCAGACCTAGACATGGAGCTGGATACCAGGTTGGAGTCAGAACAAGATTCTGAAATAGACCAGTTTAATGAGATGGACCCTGAATCTGAATCCAAGCCTGAGCATGAGCCTGAATCTGAGATCAGGCCCAGGTCTTATACTTATCCTCAGAAACAACACAGATCTCAGTTTCAATCAATGCCTTCCAGATCCCCAACTTATCCTAGGACATGGTCAGTGGACAAGAGGCGTCAAAAGGTGAATTCATATCCACCCATGCGCAATGACTCTGAAGATTTCTTGGATGTAATATGAATGAGAGGTTAGATTCCCTTGGCAAATCCTCCCCACCCCACTGGGGTCACTTGGTCAGGAGACTTAGACTAATGACAAACTAGCAGTACTTGCTTTAGGCTCCACCTGCCAACTTTTTCCTTGCTCAGCCCTGCAATCTCACTCCCACATGAAAATACTAAATACCAAGAATTGTCTCTGAATTTCCTTTGCAGGCTCACCTCATTTAGCAGATTTTCTAATGAGGTATTTCCTTCTTCACAAATCCTACACCTCTGGGGGTTTTACCAGGCCACCTCTAACTTACTCCTCTCATCTCTGTTCCCCGTCTTACAAAGAGATGAGGCTCAAATAAAATATATAGCTCTAGGCTCAAATAAAATATATAGCTCTCTTATATTTGGACCCTTCCTGCACCTTCTCCCTTCTATGTATTCCATATGTCCAAGGAAATGTCAGGTGGAAGAAATTCCAAAATGGATGGACATGGTGGGAAAAAGATGAGGAAGAAGAAGAAAAAAGACGGAGAACATTTGTATTTTACATGCAAGTTATCTTCATTCAATGATGGTGCAAACTGGGGAAAATTGGCCAGCCTGTGAGACCTGTAGAACAAGGAATTGTTAAGCTGAAAGTACTTTTACCATCACGCCAAGGTCAGGATCTAGCCTTGGTCTTCAGATTCACATTCACCATGACTTTTTCTTACAGGTTTCTAAAATACAGACAGCCTAGAATTTGTATTCTTGATGGACCAAACCTAGCTAAAATCTGTGACAGACACATATCCCTTAGGAGTTGGAAGTCAATCATAACTAGCTTGGTCCAAATCCATTCAAAAAATTTCACTTACCCCCATTTTTAAAAATCTTGTATTAAACTGCAACAAAAGGGAAATGTATATACCCAGGCAAAGGTATATTTCCCACTCAATAAACAGTACTCCTCTTGCTTGGGTACTCAATATCTCTTGCCTGTTAGAAGAAAGTCTTGTTAAAATATAGGTTTTTCATCACAGAGATAGAATGGGCATTCACTCATTCTACAAATTTACTAAGTATCTACCACATACATGGTACCTCAAACTGTGGGGTAGTTAAAGCAATATTATTCCTACTTTACACATGCATAAGCTGAGACTCAGGTAAGAGTTTTACAATTAACTCAAGTGGTCATATATAATAATTATACCCTAAAAGAGGTGGGGGCCCAGTCACAAAGTCACCAAGTCACCATTTATTCACTCAACACATTTATTGAACTCCTGCCATGTGCCAGGCACTGTCACAGGTGCCAAAGATATAAGAACAGAAAAAAATAATTTGAAAATTTGACAAGTAGCTTGAAGATAAATTCAGGAAACTCTGAGGGCATATATCAGGATGACCTGAACTTATCTTGGGCATCAACAAAATTCTTCAGCTATGACATAATATCTGGCATCTGAAGGATGAGTAGGCATTAGGCCTAAAGAAAGTTCCAATGACTACAGGGAGGGCAGAACCAAATGTAGGAACAAAAGTGGTGACCATGGGTGAGTGTAGACTCTGGGAACTCAGGGACACAGCCACATGAAGTCTAAGGGCAAGTACCATGTTACAAGGGTTCAACCAGAAACTGGGTAAAACCAGGAATGAATTTTCAGGTTGGTAGGGACAGGAACAGACATGTGTCAAAGCCAAGGAAATATTTCACATTTAAAACAGGAAACTAGGAAGTGCATGGAAAGTTCCATTTTTGTGAGCTACCTCCTCTTGCTCTAACTCTATTCTAGTCCACATTTCCATCATAAGAATGTCTTTAAACACAGAATAGTGTTTGACACTTAAAGCAGCAAGTGCTAAAGATTAGACTTGGGTCCTTCCCTGCTTCAACTACAACATAACTAAATATTGCCTTTGATATATGATCTCAGAAAGATGTTTGATTTATTGTCTATCTTCAAAGAAATATGCTATAAACTTCCATAAAGAAAAATAGTCTCAACTGTAAGTAGCACAACATTAAAGAAAAAATAAGTAAGTAACAGAGCCTCCCTGGTGGCGCAAAGGGTTAAGACGCAAACTATGAAGCTGTCCACACCTGTCTGCAGCACAAGGTCAATCCCCAGGCCGGCCAGGGAGCAACCCACATGGTGCAGCAGACCTCTCCTGACTTGCCCACTGCTCCCCTCAGCAGTGTATTTCAGTCAATCTGCCTGTTCTGCTCCCCACTCTGTCTCTGGTGAATCCTCTCAACCCCTACACCTCTAGCCTGTACCCCAGCTCCTGTATGAATAAAAACAAATATATCTTTTAAGAAAAAGAAAAAGAAAAAATTAGTAAGTAATAATTCAAAGACTGGGTCATTTTCCAAAATTCAGATCACCTAAAATTCTAAGATGTGAAAACTACAAAATTCTGCAAGTTAGCTTACTTTTCATAGCATGGTTATAATTGCAGGTTTTATCACCCTAATGAGAAATGGAAGAAAAATTCTAAACACTGAAAAACTAGTATAGACTGGACCTGAAAGTATGTCTTAACACAATTTTTTCATTACTGATTTTTTTTAATCCTTGGGGGTTAAGGCATGATTTTTATATGTGATGAACTAAGTTGAATCAATAGAACTGCAGAAAAAGGTTTGGAAGAGAAATTGGTCAACATAGATGACCCAAGGTAGCTGTTTCTAATATGTTCAGTATCACAAAATGCAATGAACCATGCTTGAGTCTCACAATCTGATTTAGATTATATTTTGATAGTCTTATATCATCTGAATTGATGACATGTGAGATAGACATGAATGTTGGGGTGCCAGGAGCTGTATGTTTGGTCACTCCCAAAATTCAGATGTTGAAATCCTACCCCACAAGGTGATGGAATTAAAAGGTAAGGCCTCTGCCGAGGGAAGAAAATATGACAGGCCCAAGAGGAAGGCCTGGTCCCCACGGGCTGCTACTCTTGGAGCAGTGAATCAGAGGGACTTGTTTGACAGTCTCCTGGATAAGAGTGGGATTGATTATCTCTTGGTCAGTAGAGATGAAGACAGTCTTCAGGCTTGACACTGAGGAGATTCACACCACATCAAAGAGGAAGAAAGTGAAGAGGAAACTGGGAGTCGTGGTCTGGAATGGGGGATACTTGTGGAAGGATTGTCAGCTCAACCAGGGGTTCTGGAGAGGAGAAACACTCCTCTTATTATGTGGAGGCACACTCACTTGAAAGAGAGGAAAACTTTATGGAGGATCAGGAGTGTTCTATACAGGCTGGTCCATGGTGGAGATAATATTAAGAGTAGGTGTTCTGTTCTATACTCCCCCTTCCCACATCCTGGGACTGATACTTTGTGAGGCATACCGAGAGCACAGGGACTGCTGAGTCTCTCATATCAAACCCCAGAGAGGAAAGTTATTGGGGTGCCACAAACACAAGCCAGTCCCAACCTAATTCATCCACACTAACATCTGGATCCCTCCAATTTCCTACCCATCCTGCATACTCAACCACTACAAAACAGATTTTAGTATATACAGAAACCAGCCAATGCATAAATAAAATTCTAATGATATTTTAAAAAAATAAAATAGGAAGACCTCAAGTAGCAAAATGAGCAGACAAAAAAAACACCTGGAAATATGGGACCTCAAGAGAGTATGACATCACAAGGGGAGAACGACTCTCTAGAATAATAACACAGAAAGATGGAAGCGCAATCTCCCTATTCAAATAAAGAGTTCAGAGCAGCTATAATAAAATCAAAGACATAGAAGAAACTCAGAAAAGTAAGTCAAATTAGTACAAAAGAACCTAGGAAAGCAAGTCAAAAAAAATACAAGAGGAATAAGAAAAACTAATCAGAGATACAACAAATTGAGAAAAATTAATCAACTCAAACAAAATGAACAGAAAGTAGAAATTGAAACTTTAAGAAAATGAGAAATTCAGGAAGTCAAGAGCTCAATCAACCAAGAACTCTAGAGAAAGCTGTGAACGTTGAATAGATCAAATGGAGGATCAAATCAGTGCTCTCAAAGATAGTAATACAATAAGTGTCCAATGGAAGTAGAGAGAGAAACTATATATTTTAAAAAACGAAAAGGCAATTTGAGAAATATCTAACACCATTAAGAAAGCCAACATAATGTTAATGGGTATCCATATATATACGGACAGCTAATCTATGACAAAGAAGTCAAAAACACTGAAACAAGGAGAGCCTCTTCAATAAGTGGTGGTGGGACTGGACAGCTGCATGCAAAAGAATGACCATGATCTCACACTATACAACAAAGTCAACTAAAAATTGGTCAAAGACTTGGATGTAACCTGAAATCATAAGACACATAGAAAAAAAATAGGCAGAACTTTTCATGACACAAACTCTAGCGATGCCTTTAGGAATTTGTCCCCAACAGCCAGGATAATAAAAGAGAACATAAACAGCTGGGACTATAGCAAACTAAAAAGCTGATGTATAGTGAAAGAAACCATAACTAAAATGAAATGTCACCCTACTGAATGGAAGAAAATATTTGCACACCATACATCTGACAAAAGACTGATATCAAAGATATACCAAAAAAAAAACCAACTCATAAAACTACAAAAATAAAACTAACCCAATCAAAATATGGGCAAAAGATTTAAACAGACATGTCTCCAAAGAACACATCTCCAAACAGCCAGCAAGCACATTAAAAAATGTTCACAATCACTTATTATTAGAGAAATGTAAGTTAAGACCACAATGAGATACTATCTCACACATGTGAAAATGGCCCATATTGAAAATAAAACAGAAACAAGTAGAATAAAGGCAACCCTGCTACACTGCCAGTGGGAATGCAAACTGGCCCAGCCCTTATGGAAAGCAGTACAGAGGTGTCTCAAAACATTAAACACATATCTGACATTTGACCCAGTAATTTCAGTCCTACGTATCTATCCCCCCCAAAAAAAAAATCAAAAACACTAATTTTAAAGAAAGCTTGCACTACCATGTTTATTCAAATGTTATTTATTATAACTAAACTGTGGAAACAATTTTAGTGGCCCAAAACAGATAAGTGGATCAAGAAGATGTGGTACATATACACAACGAAATACTACTCTACAATCAAAAAAGATAAACTCATGCCATTTGAAGCAACATGGATGGAGCTTAAAAATATAATGCTATGTGAAATAAGTGAGAAGAAGAAAAATAGATACCAGATGGTGTCACTAATATAAAGTGAAATATAAAGTAACTGAACTAAGATTCAGATAAAGACAAGCTGAAAAACTAAGCCTTGAGAACTGACTACAGAAGTGAAACACCAAGGGGGGAAGGAGTGGGTAAGGGCAAAGATCAAAGAGGGAAGAAAGCACAATCATCTATGGTGGTGAAATGTGGGTGAGTTGGTGGTGGGCGCCCAACACCAATATTCCCTCAGTTAAAAATTAATAAATAAATAAACAAGGGGGGAAAGAATAATATGTATCCCAGCAAGGGAAGAGAGAATGACGGAATAGAGAGTCTATTCAAGGAAATAATAGAGGAAAACTACCCACACCTGGGGAAAGAATTAAATACACCAGTCAATGAAACTAAAAGAACACCTGGTTACCTAAATATAGCAAAACTTACATTAAGACACATAATATTGAAACTAGCAAGCACTAAAGATAAAGAATATTGAAGGTAGCTGTAGGAAAAAGCAGGTAATGTATAAAGGTATTCTCATTAGGCTTACTTCAGACTTCTCAGCAGAAACCTTACAGGCAAAGAAAGAATGGAATGATGTATTCAAAATACTCAAAGATAAAACCTGCCAGCTAAGAATACCATATCCTGCAAGACTCTTCTTAAGATGCAAGGGAGAAACAAAAACCTTCACAGATAAAACTTGAAGGAGTTTGCAAACACTTGGACTCCCTTACAAGAAATGCAGAAAGAAGCACTCATATCTAAACCAAACCAAAGAAAATTCACAAAAAATTAAATGAGGAAATAGATAAAACCAAAAAACTCAAGACAAAATGGCAGTAGCAAATACACATATATCAATAATCACTCTAAA